TTCCATGTCTTGGCTATTGTAAATAGTGCTGCTATGAACATTGGGGTGCATGTGTCTTTTTGAATGGAGTTTCTGTCATTTCTGGATATATGCCCAGGAGCGGGATTGCTGGATCATGCGGTTAACTCTATTTTTAGTTTTTTGAGGAACCTCCATACTGTTCTCCATAGTGGCCGCACCAATTTACATTCCCACCAACAGTGCAAGAGGGTTCCCTTTTCTCCACACCCTCTCCAGCATTTATTGTTTATAGACTTTTTGATGATGGCCATTCTGATTGGTGTGAGGTAATGCCTCATTGTAGTTTTGATTTGCATTTCTCTAATGATTAGTGATATTGAGCATCTTTTCACACTCCTGTTGGCCATGTGTATGTCTTCTTTGGAAAAATATCTAGTTAAGTCTTCTGCCCATTTTTTGATTGAGTTGTTTGGGTTTTTTGATATTGAATTGATGAGCTGTTTGTATATATTTTTTGAAATTAATTAATTGATTTATTATTATTTTTTGACTGTGTTGGGTCTTCGTTGCTGCACGTGGGCTTTCTCTAGTTGCGGCGAGCGGGGGCTACTCTTCGTTGCGGTGCGCAGGCTTCTCATTGCGGTGGCTTCTCTTGTTGCGGAGCATGGGCTCTAGGCGCGTGGGCTTCAGTAGTTGTGGCACATGGGCTCAGTAGTTGTGGCTCACGGGCTCTAGAGCACAGGCTTGGTAGTTGTGGCATGTGGGATTAGTTGCTGTGGCATGTGGCATCTTCCCAGACCAGGGCTCAAACCCATGTCCCCTGCATTAGCAGGTGGTTTCTTAACCACTGTGCCACCAAGGAAGTCCCTATATTTTTGAAATTAAGCCTTTGTCAGTTGCATGATTTGCAAATATTTTCTCCCAGTTCATAGGCTGTCTTTTCATGTTGTTTATGGTTTCCTTTGCTGTGCAAAAGCTTATAAGTTTGATGAGGTCTCAATTGTTTATTTTTGCTTTCATTTCTTTTGCCTTGGGAGACTGACCTTAGAAAGTATTGCTATGATTTATGTCAGAGAGTTTTTTGCCTATGTTCTCTTCTAGGAGTTTCATGGTGTCCTGTCTTATATTTAAGTCTTTAAGCCTTTTTGAGTTTATTTTTGTGTAGGGTGTGAGGGTGTGTTCTAACTTCATTGATTTACATGCGCCGTACAGCTTTCCCAGCACCGCTTGCCAAAGACACCGTCTTTTCTCCATTATATAGTCTTGCCTCCTTTATAGAAGATTGACTGACCTAGGTATGTGGGTTTATTTCTGGGCTCTCTATTAACAACACTTTCCTTCTGTCCCACACTTTCAGAGCTATTCCCTCCTCAGTTCATTCCCCTCTGATGGCACTTTTCACCCTGATGACTTGCTTAAGTATCTCTCTGCCCAACTATACTGTGACCCTCTCTGGACATTCATTCATCTTTCTATTTGCAGTACTTAGGTCTGATACATTGTAGGACCACAATTAAAGTTTGTTAAGTCAAGATATTTTGTTTCAATGGATCAAAATTTCTGTTCATGTCACCGAGTCTTACCACATATATTTCTACTTTTAAAATACAATCTCATACTTTTCCCCATAATTCCTAACGTCCACAATAAAATGTCAGCAATATTATAAAGGCCCAACATCAGTTTAATCAATATCAAGACTGAAAAAGTCATTCAGCAAAGAACTCCCCACAAGGATTCAGGCAGTTGGAGTGAGTGGAAACTAAATGTAAAATCAACTCAGCAAAGATTAAAATTTACCCCCATTGAAGTTGATAGCCATAATCTGAAATGTTTTATTAAACCAATCTTCTAGACATTTTAAATTGTAACACTGGAATTTTTAATGCAGGGAAACTCTTCTTATGACACTATAATCGTAGATATATATCATTATACATCTGTCAAAACCCAAAGAATGTACAACACCAAAAGTGAACTTCAATGTAAACGAAGTACTCTGGGTAATAATGACATGTCAATGTAGGTCCGTCACTGACTGTGTAACAAATATACCACACTGATGCGAGATGCGGATGGTAGGGAAGGCTGTGGAGGTGGAGGGAGTATGTGGGAACTCTGCACTTTCAGCTCCATTTTGCTGTAGAGCTCTAAAAATAAAGTACTAATATTTTAAAAAAGAACATGACCATATGAAGTATTCCTTTCCTTAGCACTGCAATCTGGTTACTTAAACACAGTTTCACAGGGCTTCCCTGGTGGCGCAGTGGTTAAGAATCCACCTGCCAATGCAGGGGACACGGGTTCGAGCCCTGGTCCGGGAAGATCCCACATGCCGCGGAGCAACTAAGTCCTGTGCGCCACAACTACTGAGCCTGCGCTCTAGAGCCCATGAGCCACGTCTACTGAGCCCACGTGCCGCAACTACTGAGCCCACGTGCCACAACTACTGAAGCCCACTCACCCAGAGCCCATGCTCCTCAACAAGAGAAGCCACCGCAATGAGAAGCCCACGCACCGCAACGGAGAGTAGCCCCCACTCACCGCAACTAGAGTAAGACCGCACGCAGCAACGAAGACCCAACGCAGCCAAAAATAAATAAAAATAAAATAAATTTATTTAAAAAAAACACACAATTTCACAGAAGAAATGTACAAACCAGATTATGTTTGTAAGAGCCACTATTTATTCTATTGGCTTTTGTCAAGTCCTCTACAATTTCAACCAAAGCCATTGCTTCAGTAAAGATACTATTTGATCACTTGTCTTTTCTTAATGATTTTCACAAAAAGGAACCAGACAGTGACACTCCGTGTGATTGACAGGAAACTTCAGTGCCCTGCCATGGACTCATCAACCTTACTGCTACAGCTTCTCCAGATTTGCCCAGCTCTGGTACATACAGGCTTTGCAGGTGCTTCCAAGCAGCCCTTGAAACAGCAGCTACATTATTGTGCCACTGTGAATTTCAGATGGACCCCCTCTACCAGGAGCTTAATTCTCCATTTGGGCTTTGAAGCACACAATCGTAATTGCTTGCAAATGCTTGGGCTTGAAAGTCTATATTGAGGTAGCAAAAGGTTGGAGGTTTAAGGAATTATTAATATGTAAGAGGCAAATATTTATTTCATTGTCAGACCACAGCTTCCTAACGTGGTGTCAAGAGAACATTATTTCTGCCAACTATTTTCCCTACTTACTGAGAGTTCAGTTCTCAGAAATGTTAAGACACTGCTGCACATTCCACCCTCCTTTTAGAGACTGACAAACATGCACTAACATAGTCAAGGTTCTCAGAAGATCGGCATTGATCAATTATTCAACTTTAACCCAACATTTCCCAAACTTATGTGTCCCCAGAACCTTTGCTGCTGCTGGTGTCATAGTCCTTATCATACTATTAACATCCAAAGGAACTACTGTTGCTGAAACATGCTTTGGAAATTATCAGTATATCTGGATAGTAATAATAGTGGCCTTTACAAATAAACTTTAAATCATTTTTCCCTAACATAACTTACCCACAGTTATCCAGAGGAATGAGAGGTTACTAAATAAATAAACATGAGCAATGCTGAAGATTTTAACTGAAAAGTAAGTGTGGACTGAACCACAAGAAACACACAAACAAAAGCCTTTATTCATCCGTCTCTGAACCCCTTCATTTTTGTCTGGGTAACTTCCAAAGTGGCCAACTTATCTCACTAGTTCTCTTTCTAAATGTATCACATTATCTTTCAAACATCAACTGACGCTTACTACATACAGCATAATATTTGTGCATGCCTGTGTAGTAAGTACATTTTTAAATATAAATGTGATTCCTTCAAATACTTTTTATCCTGAAGATGGAACTAAGACAGGAAAATTCCCTTTTGTTAGGTTTACCTAATACCTTCAGAAGCTTCTCGGAGTAAAATTTGTTTTGTCTTTTCAGGGGTAAAAACCAACGGAGGTTTAAATTAAACTGGACACTCTATAAATAAACCACATTCTATATACAAACTCTGTACGAGCTTATATTGCACTAGCCCCTCTACCCTGATCAGTGATTAGTCATCTATTTCCTTGGGTTTTTATTTTAATTCTTAATTTTAATTAAAGCTAGACTATATCTCTCCAGAGATACTACCGAAATTTGGAAGATCATCACCTAAGAAGTACACTGCTGGCCTGGCCAAATATATTCTTATTTTTACCATGAGTAGTTTTTCTCCTGATACTGTGTAATTATTTTGTATCAGTGTATTTACACATTATGTCATATTTTTGTGTTAACTATACTTTTATGTGTTTATAGTTTTGTTTTTAATTTCACTTTATTCCTTTCCTAAGCAGTAATATACAAAAAAAAACAATTTGATACATTAGTTATATTTCTAATAAATATTAAAACTCATGCACCCCTTAAAATCATCTTGTATATCACCAGTAGAGTGTTTAGCACACACCCTGGAAAACAGTAACATGAAAATTTCTTGCCATGGAAATAAGGGATGAGGTTTGGAGTAGGGAAAAGTTAAGATAACTTCTCATGACTCTCCTTCCTACCAGATGTGTGCACTGCACGAATGAAAAAAAAAAGTATTTGTTTATTTTACATTGCTTTCTGAAAGAAAAATAACACCCTTTTTAAAATACTGTAATCAAATGAATTTTATAGTCAAGGACTATGCAAAGTCCTGAGGGGACCCATCTCTAGTCTGTGTGATACAATAAACCCACCAAATGAAACATTTCATTGAAATATGCAGTTTTTATGAAGAAACAAGCACCCCCTAGAACCAAAGACTGATCCTGCTGAGGCTTTAGACATGTGGTATATGTGTGTGCACCTCTGTAGGTCTAATTTTCTTTCTTTCTATATAATCAAGTGACCTAGTCTCATTGGGTTAAGTTTCAACCACAAAACATCACTGTGTGCTTTTTGTTTTTTTCAAGATACACGTCACAACACACCAAGAAAGGGGGAACTTCCAGTGTCTGTGGTAACATCACTTGATAAACAGACTCGTTTGAACAGCAAGGGCCTGTTAGCCGTCACTATATAAAGCAGCAGAGGCGTGGATTAGCAGATACTTGCCTGCTGAGGACCATGTGAGCAACGGCCATCTCCACGCCAAGGAGAGACAAAATGCCAGGCGTGTTCCTCTCTGCTAATCCAAAGGAACTGAAAGGAACTGATCATTCGCTTCTAAACGACAAGACGCAGAAAAGGAGGCCAAAGACCTTGTAAGTTCATTAACTGTGCAAATTTTGACTTAGATGATCCTTAATGGCAGAACAATTGAAAATGAATGAATGGAAGAAAATACGAGCCTTTAGTTTACCTAGATCAGGGCAATGACCTGCTGTGAGTTACAAGTATATTCAGTTGTATTTAAAAATGAATCATGACAGGGCATTAAATGAGGTGGGAATTTTTCCAGACTTTGGGTCATAAAAATTGGCTCACTCTTGATATAGCAATATGTTGTATCAGCTATTTTTATTATGGCCTTATTCCTTGGAGAAGTTTGCTTCATGCTCTTTTCTTTTTACAAATAAAATGTATTCTTCTGAAGAAATATGAATATTTACTTTTGTGTCTTTTGTAGTGGAATGGATGTGAAAGCATACCTGAGATCTATGATCCCACACCTGGAATCTGGAATGAAACCTTCCAAGTCCAAGGACCTGTATGTACACTAATACACGGAACTATCACTATATAAGCGGCCTGTGCCTTAGCTCTGTATTCTAGCAAGGCGGTAATACTACACATACTGGACTTCGTTTTTTTTAAGTAACAAGACTAATAAGATTAAGCTGCATTAGTACCAATGTAATTTAAATACAAATGTGCATGCATATATTTGCTACTTATTATACTGTTGGAGTACATTTGGATTTTTTCACATTTTACTGGCAGATATTTTCATAACGATAGTAATTCTAAGCAAATTTTTGTTTTCTTATAGATAAATTTTAATAAAATTTATTAGAAGTAGAGTCTCAGTTTGTGAAGTTATCAAAATGCAGCAGCCATTCTGATTTCATTTGCGCTTACACACACAAAAATACTAATTTACGTAAATGTCGTCCCCTGTAGACTCTCTGCTGATGAAGTGAAGCAGTGGTCTGAATCTCTGGAAAAACTTCTTGCCAACCAGAGTAAGTATAGATGAACTACTGAATGTTTCTGGGTTTATCTCAGTATGCTAAGAGATTGAATGGCTTCATTAAAATATAGTATTCTGGATGGGAGGGTGTGTGAAAAGTTGTACTCTAGCTGTTCTGTAGCACTGACAGCTTCAGCGTATTATGCCTCATCGTGGCATAATGTTGACTCGGCACTCAGTTCTGCTACTGTCCTTTAGAAAAATTTGCCAAGGCAACTAGCTATTTCCATGGATCATTATAGGAGCAAAATTTTAAATTATGCTGGGGTTCTGAAGCTTAAAGTTTTAAAAAGTAAACCAAACATCTCAACATGTGAACTGCTATTCTGAAAGCTACCTAAAGGATGTATTTTTGTACCACTGGATGTAAGGGGTAGGATTCACTCAGTCAATTAATAACTTTTTCCATTCATACATGCGTTGTCACTCATTCAGCCCAGGCATTTATGTGCAGGCATTTTAGAAGCACCAAGGACTCAAGAGTAAAGACACAGAGCCTTGCTGCCTTGAAGGCAGTTGAGACACACAGCATAAAACTGCATTATATATAACATGACACGTTATAACAGATATGATAAAAAGACTTTTTAAACACAGAGTCTCACGGGGAGTTTCTGATGAGAGAAGGGAAATGAGATCAGCTTGTCTTAGCCCTCATCATGGGCATTGGGATCCTGTTGGGATTAGGACCTCGCTCAAGGGCATAGATGGGCAGCTTATCCCTATCCGGGGTGAGCTGATCCCCTTCTCCCTCCCCCGCAACACCCTACAGAGCCTCACGTGGGGATCAAGTAGTTCAACCTGGTTCGTCTGCTTGTTATCTGACTTAGGTTATGATTCAGCCAAACAGTGCTATAGAAATGGCCCATTGAAAAGCCTGAATAACACTAGTAAATCCAAGCAGTACAGCGCACATAGGTAATATACAGGCCTCACGTCTTTTGACTTATATGAGTTGGACAGAGAAATTATATTTGCTAATGATTAACATGATGTTCATGCCTCCTGTCAATATTTGATTCCCTAAAATACTCTGCACTCTGGCTGAGCTGGTAGTGTAAGAAAAGAGATTGTTCTGTAACCTGCAGAGCAGAATTGTAATGTAATAGCAGATGGAAGTGAAGCAGTCTCTCAGCCACCACTAAGCAGCTGTGTACCTGTGACAAGCGTGTCTGACCCCAGACAGACTATAAACGAAGGGGTCCCTAAGGCCTTCCCACCTCTACAAACGGTGACACAGCCATTTCAGCAGCATCCACCTCTTCCTTTTGTACACAGAGAATATGCCACTGTACTTTTCTCGTAAGTTTCTTCCAGTTATTCATTTATTGGCTGTGATAAATTAATTTATCTCACCCCTCACCCTTTCTTTTTAGCTGGTCAAGACGTCTTTGGGAATTTCCTAAAGTCTGAGTTCAGTGAGGAGAATATTGAATTCTGGCTGGCTTGTGAAGACTATAAAAAAACAGAGTCTGATCTTTTGCATTGCAAAGCGGAGAAAATCTATAAAGCATTTGTGCAGTCAGATGCCGCCAAACAAGTGAGTATTTAGTTCATTACCATCGGTTTATATGTAAAGAAACTTAGATATAGAATAAGATTCAACATACTAGCAAGATGAAATCCTTTTTGAGTATTATGATTTTCACTGCTATATATTTAAGTGTATTCATATAGTTCAGTGCAATGATAATCTAATTTTCTACACTTGTGAAAAGATTGGATGAAAGGTTGATTTTGTAAAACAAGCTAATGTGATGGGGTGGGGTAAGGAGTACTGGTGATACCGACCAGAACTGCATGTCAGGGGGTCCTTAGTGAGCTAGCTCGTTTTGGATTAGGATAAAGTAGAGATTAGTGCAATACATGGATTGCAGCAGCAGAAATATTTCCAGTTAGTAGTAATGCCCACTTCCAGTTAAATATTCCTGGTTCAAGCAGCAAACATCTGCACAAAGTGTCCTCTCCTCCTGTAAACCTTAAATGTGCACATCACTTTTCTCGATGCACGTATCACCTTATACAGATATTTAAAAAATAATGTCTGCCTCTTTTGCACCTCCCAAAGATATTATGAGCTAACTTGGAGCAAAGATATTTCTGCTTTTTTTGTGCTACTTCTTTTTAACTCTTCCACACCTAGGATAAGGTATGCTTAGAATAGGCATTCAAGAGATATTTGAGCTGATTTAAATGAGGTTTTAAAGCCACTGTCTTGAGGTGCTTCAAAAACAACAGTGACATCATAAAACATGCAATAAATTGGAAGTGCATATGAACTGATGAGGATTTCTTTTTAGATCAATATTGACTTTCACACTCGAGAATCTACAGCCAAGAAGATTAAAGCACCAACACCCACGTGTTTCGATGAAGCCCAAAGAACCATATATACTCTTATGGAAAAGGACTCCTATCCCAGGTTCCTCAAATCAAATATATACTTAAATCTTCTGAATGACCTTCAGGCTAATAGTCTAAAGTGACTAGTGCCGGCTGGAGGGAATTAAAGATGATATCAAGTACAGAAGGAATGTACCAGGATGGCTCCCTGGGGGAACACCTTGGCCTTTTTGGATGACTCACAGATCCAGGGGAAGAACCCATGACTCAGGACAGATTAACATGGAAGTTATCCAGGCTCAAGGCTGAAGAAGCGTGAGAAGAAAATTTAGCGATGGTAGAAGGAAGGAGATACTGTGGTACTGTCATAAAATACAGTGGACCTACGTATTAGAACATCCCTCAGAACTGAGAAGGCCGGGTAATGCTTGCTACGCAGAAACTGTGAATAAGTGTTTTGAAACTGGTGAAAACATGCTATAAGCTTCAAAGTCAAGTGACATTTATACTGCATATTGTTATACAGAGATTGTATCGAGCTGCTGAAATCTCTTTTACCTGGATGACTATTTGAGAAGTATGTGTTTCAAAATCACCATTTCTGTTATTGACACAAAGTTTTTCAGTGTTGGTTGGTTTGTTGGAGTGTTTTGGGATTGAAAGAGATGAAGAGGAGAACAATGTATTTAACTTAAGCTATTGCCTTAAAGTTGGGAAGTCAGAATATATTTGTAAATTAAATTATCACAGTGTCAATAATAAATGTGAGACACAAAAACATAGAAGCAATTTCTGTTTACATTTCCTTGCCATCTTTAAAACTGGCATTTATTTTTCAGATTTAACAAAAATTTAAGCAAGGGTCTTCTACTTTCTATCACCTCTTCAACATCTAAAACTATCATCCAGTTAATCTTATATTTTGTGTATTACGTGTATGTATTGGACAGAATTCATTAGTTTTCTCTCTGCTATCATGATGTATAAAGATCAAACAAATATAATATGCTCTCATATAGTCAAGCTTCAAACTGATGAGAAATTGAAGAAGTCTTTTAAAGAGGGATAGAAATTTTATTTCAAGAAGTCATCTAATTAACAACTAATAATTTATTGTGATTTAAAGTTTATAAAAGCCAGATGTATTTTCTCATTTAATGTTCATAGCAATCACTACTTCCCAAATTTAGCTATCAAAACTACCTAGAATGTTAAAAAACAAAACACCAATTTTGGGGCCCTATCCCAGACTGACTGAATCAGAATCCCCAAGGGATAGAGTACGAGAATCTATATTTTAAGAGTAAATTCCAGGCGATTCTGAAGATGCCCTCGTTACGCAGGGTTGGGAATCCTGGAGTTAAGAGACAGTCCCACTGCCAGGGATTTACACGTAAATTTTCTCACCACACAATTTGTGTTCCCTCTACTGTGCAACACTGCCCCCCAATGACCAGAAGACATTTCCTAAACCCTCAAGCCTTCAGCAGTCCTAGGCATTACCTAAGCAGGAACACAAGACTGCTCTGGAGGATCGTCTACAAAAGGATAATCAGGACGACGCGCATTCCAGCATAGCCCATAGAGCTGTATCTTCCCATGCTCCCGTGTCCCATATATAATTGAATAATCAGCCACCACAGTGTAATACTCTGGATATTCTCAGTACAGGCTTGCCTATCATCAGGCACACAGCAATGACATGGGGCAATACGTAGAGAGGTTTAAAAAGTACTATTCTTGAATTGCCATGGGACAAAGTCCAAATTGTCTCTACCATAAGCTTAATTCTATGATTTAGCAGGTCAAAATATTGTAAGAGGCTTAGGAAGGGAAGCCAGTTTAATCACCATCATCATTCTCATCATTCTCTCCCTTACGCATGCCATCACCAAATTCCCTCAATCCTCCTTGTACAATTAATGTGTGCAGTTGGTATGTCACTTGCTCTTTTTCTGCCCCCCTCCCTCCCGCGCTAGTGTAGTCTCTCATTGATTGCTCATTCATGCAACTTGTTTTCTTTCTTTCCAGCCTCTTCTCTTCAATCCATCTTCAATCCATCCTCTAAACAGCCACAAACATCACCTTCTGAGACACAGATTTGGCCCTGCCATTTCCCGTGACATAAAACATGAAGTTCAAATTTCCTTTCTGGAATTCAAAACACTCCCAGTGAGACCTTCAGGATATAATTCGTCTTACTCCCCTCTCGGCATCCTTCCGACCTTGACATCACTCTGGATCAACTGCCTTTTCTTGAAGGAGTCCTGGTCTTCACTACCCTTTGGTTAATCTACTATCTCTCTAAAATGCCTCTTCCTACCTCCTTCCAGTTTTCAAAGTCCAACCAATTCCTCAAGGCCCAGGTAGAATTACTCTTCTATAAAAGCTTTCTAACACCTTACACCGGTATGTGGTTACTTTCAATAAAAACCGGAGGGGAACCAAGTCCATATAAACACAAGACACTCTGCTCCTATTTCTAGCACCACTGTCACATTAAATAGTCTAGGCCCTTCAAACTCGGAGGCAGTAGAAGTGCAACTGTCCAACACACATACTGGTCATAAAATGAATGCTTCTGGCCTTTGTCTTGATAAGATGCCATGTTAAAAAGCCATGCAGGGGCTTCCCTGGTGGCGCAGTGATTAAGAACCCACCTGCTGACACAGGGGACACAGGCTCAAGCCCTGATCCAGGAAGATCCCACATGCCAGGGAGCAATTAAGCCTGTGCGTCACAACTACTGAGCCTGTGCTCTAGAGTCTGTGAGCCACAACTACTGAGCCCATGTGCCACAACTACTGAAGCCCACGTGCCTAGAGCCTGTGCTCCTTAACAAGAGAAGCCACCACAATGAGAAGCCCGTGCACCGCAATGAAGAGTAGCCCCCACTCGTCCCAACTAGAGAAAGCCCGCGCGCAGCAACAAAGACCCAACGCAGCCAATAAATAAATAAATAAATAAATAAATAAATAAATAAAACCTATTAAAAAAAAAAGGCATCCAAGTTTTGGACAGATGGTCAAAACAAACATCTAAGACATCTCTTCATTTTCAAAATGAAAAAAAAAATTGTCACCATGGCTGCATAGATTCAAGATATTGCAAAAAACTTGAAAAGATAAATTTCTTTTCATTGGCATTGTTTATTATGGTGTGGATGTTTTATTAGATCATTTACAGAAATATGAATAGCTCTACTGTTTAGAGAAATCTGGTCCAACTGCTCCATCTAAGATCCTCAACTCATATGCTATGTTCTATTGTGATACTAAAGCTGTGGCAATCAACAATATGTATAATTTAAAACTAATTCATTTAAAAAATAAAAATAAATTTACTTTGCTCAGATGTATTTTATACTATTTCTAATATGATATGTATATTGTAGAAAAGTAGGAATCCGTGAAGGTAGAAATTAGACCTCCTGATGTCTAATAAAAAGTACATATTTACACATTTAGCTCATGTGGGATAAACTAAATTTCAAGTTTCTTTCATTCTGTGTGCAAACACAGGCTGTTTTATATTAGGAGGAATCTTTGATGATTTATTACTGAGAAAAGAAATTCCGAAATACGTGAAGGGAAAATAGAGTAAATGGTGATTTAAACTACCATAGATATAAATAATTGCTATTATACACAGAATTGTAGAATTTTCTCGAGACTGCATAAAACCCTATCTATAGAACCAAAAAAATACTCATCAACTGCAGAAATACTACCATCTGTTTTATTGAGACCAGTATCTTAAAAGTGTTACTGAACCAAACTTGGATCCGCGTGCCCAATGCACAACAAAGCCAATCTAATGACACCAGCTTGTGGTGAAGGAAAGTACAGCGTTTACTGCAAGGCACCCAACATGGGGCCAAACAAGGAGAACAGGAAGCTGAGGCTCAAAAGACCCAAACTGCCCAGTGGCTTTCAGGGAAGGGTTTTTAAAGTCAGTGTTAGGAGTGAGGATTGTAGGGTATCTGATCCGCTCATGGACATTCTTCTGATTGGTTGATGGTGAGGTAATTGGGAGTTAACATCATCAACCTTCTGGTTCCAACCAGTCTTGGGTCTATATGCTTGTGGTCAGCAGGCATGTAACTTCTTCTACCTTGTGGGGGTGTCAGTATCTGCAAAACGACTGAAGGATATGGCTCAGGGTATTATCTATAGCCCTTGAGGAGGAACTAAAGGTCCTTGACTCTTTAGTTTACAGCCAAACTACTATTATTTTATCTTGCTTGACTGTTTCCCTTTGTTTCTGTATTTTCTCACTTCTCTGATTAAATTTGCTCTTTGGAACTAAGGGAAGGCCTAGGAGGCTAAAGCTTTTCTACAAACAAGAGGCTGAGGACGTTGGGGAGAAGCGGGGGTCTGCCTTGGGAAGGCCCTGCAAGGTCCTGCTCAGTTTGAAAAGCTAAAAATGTATCATTCTAATGGCAAAATTTTGTGTCTTACTCTGTGCCTAACCTAAATGAAACTTTTCTACAAGTAAGTCCATGGCAAAATATAGAACTTTCTATGGATGTTTCTATATAAATATTTGACTGGGTATTTACCTCCTGGTGGCTCCTTTCACTTGAATTTGTAAACAGACCAAAGGGAAATGAAAGGGAAGGAGGGAGGGAGGGAGGAAGGCAGAGAGAGAGAGAGAGAGAGAGAGAAGGGAAACAAACTGAGTGTCTTAAATGTTTGTATTACCTTATGTCTCATTTGAAAACCTGAGTGCCCCCAAATGTCATACTTATATTTTATCTTCTCAAATTGAAATTTTAAGCCAAAAGGGATTGTGCTATAGTTTAGAATTGTCTACGTTACTTTGAAACTCCCATAATTGATGGAAGATTAGGCTAGGAATTCGAATCCAAACCCAAAAGAACCAAATTTATTAAATCCATGGGGACCTTGCCTCGACTTGGAATGTTGCCATTTGGGGAAGATCTATGGCAGTAGGCTTGATGATTGAAAGAGAAGTCAAGCTCCTGGGATTAGGGAGCTGATTAGTTAAGAAACGGTGCACTGTAAGCACGTTTTAGATTTAGAAAACTGCGTTGGCCATGTCAATCACAATTCAGAATTAAATGTTCTCATCGTCCTTCCTCTCTCTCCTGTCCAACTCCAAGCAGAGTCAGAGGTCTAGGATCCATGTGGCTGAGTATGTACAAAAATTCCAAAGAGTTTAGGGACATTCCAAATAGACGCTCTCATGTCACTCAAGAGAAACACCAACTTCCCACTTCTCAAGTGAAAAATGCAAGCCTTCTAAAAAGTTCTTTAACTGCAAGCTTTCTTAGCAAAAAAATAGTTACTTAAA